GCGACGACGGCCCCGTCGAAATTGTCACGGCGGTCGTCGCCGTGACTGTAGGAGAGGATGGACAACCAGAGCCGACTAAGAATCCAGGAATCGCTCTGCCCGCGCCTGCTACACGCGCTCGCGAGACGACTACTGAGGAAGAGGACGAGCCGGAGGAGACTGCCAAGCCCGAAAAGCCAACCACAACCGCCAGGAAGCCTTCATCTACCCAGGACGACGATGATCTAATCGTGGAGGAGACCTCAACTGCGAAGAGCCCGCTCAAGCCTGCGTCCACCCTCATGGTAGCAACCAAGTCCCCAACGCCCAGCCCCGCCTCGTCGATCGCAGGTCTCGCATCTGCCACAGCCGCGACCATTTCGGCTACCGCATCCTCTTCTTCAGCCGCCGCAGCAGACTCTGAGGAAGGCATGTCCACCGGTGCGAAGGCAGGTCTTGCCCTGGGTATACTTCTGGTCTTGTGTGCCATTCTCACTGGCATCTTGCTCCTGTACCGTCGCAAGAAGAAGCAAATGGCCGCCGCAGCTGCTCAGAACGAGAAGACTGAGATGTACAACGCACCCGCACCGCCGCCTCCTCAAATCATCGCTGGCGCTGCTCCGGCAGGCAGCATCCGTTCTGCTCGTACCGCCTCAACTGCCCCCCGCCTCAGCCTGCGACCAGTCACCCAGTTCGACCCAGCATTCAACGAACAGCGAAAGAGTGGAGGAAACTTGCTCAATGTCGCTGCTGCCGCCGGTGGTGCTGCTGCTCAATCCCAGAACCGCAATCTCTCGCCTTCAGCATCTGCTGACCGTCCTACCAGCGCCTGGGAGCGACGTGGTGCCGCCAACGCTCCCGCTGCCGACCCATTTAAGGATCCTGAGGCGCAATCTGGTCCTCCCTCAGCGAACCCCTTCGGCAACAACGCTGCGGTCGATACTCAGCAAGCCTCCATCCCCGACTCGCCTCCCAATGCTTCTCCCATGGCCTCCGCAATGCACTCTTCAAAGCCCAGCTCTGACTTTGCCAACCCAGCTCCGGCTATCGCCACTGCTGATTCTAATGCTATTGCCATGTCTACGATCCCTCCTCCTACCTCTGAGCTTCCTCTCCCGCCAACTGTCGCCGCCAACAACGGAAGTGTTCCCCCGAGCCCGGCCTGGACTGAAGACATTCCTGCGTCCCCTGGCCCAGCTCCTGCTGGTCCTCTTCCTGTTGCTGGCGCTATGGCTGGTGGTCGTCCCCAGAGCCCTGCCATGGGTCCTGGTCCTAACAACGTCCACCGTGTTCAACTTGACTTCAAGCCTTCCATGCAAGATGAACTCGATCTCCACGCTGGTCAGCTGGTTCGCATGCTCCACGAGTACGATGATGGATGGGTAAGTTTGACTTTTTTTCCATAACTTGACGAGATGACTAATTATTTCTAGGCTCTCTGCATTCGTATGGACCGCTCGCAGCAAGGTGTCGTCCCCCGCACATGTCTCTCCAAGCACCCTGTCAAGCCCCGTAACGGCCCTCCTCGCAACGGTCCCCCACCACCAGGTAACATGCGCGGTCCACCCATCCGCCCAGCCATGGGTCCGGGCGGTCCTCAACAGCGTCCTCAATCACCTGGCATGAACTCTCCCAACATGCCCCAAGGCAGCCCCGGTCCCCGTCAAATGTCCCCTCGCCAGATGTCGCCCCAGCAGATGCCATCCCCGCAAATGCAACAAGGCCCACGCATGCGATCCAACAGCAACGCTCCTCAACAAGGACCTCCCCGCGGCCGCTCCAACAGCAACGCGCCCTACGCCGGCCCACCCCGCTCCATGTCCCCCGGTCCCTACGGCGGCGGACCCCAGATGGCACCCCCACCCCAAATGGGCGGGCGTCCACGATCCAACTCCGCGAGCCAGGCCGGCAACCCACGACGAGGTCCAGCACCCGGTCCCAGTCCCATGAACCCCAATGCCATTACCCCCAATGGACCCGTTCCCATCCCCGCCCGGAAGCCGGTCCCTGGTATGGCTATGTAAACAAGAACGTTTGATTCTAGACTGGTGCTTTTATGAGGAACGTTTGAGCGGTTTCTTGATCTTCGTTTTTTCGCTATTTCCTTTTGTGAACCCTTTCCAACTAGCGGTACGCGGTTCCTTGTGAATTCGTTGTTTACCCTGTTCCCTTCGCTTGGCTTCGATTCTTTGTAGTGGCTCCTTTCCACTGCACATCCGCATATCGTAGAAGGTGTGCTGGTGCGCAGTATAAGGCCAGTCCCTACTAGACCTCTTTGCTTTTCGATGCTTATACCCCCTGTAGCCTCGCATCAACCGTTCCCAATCTCACTTATCGAGGCTGGTACCCGGGGCAGGCGAGGCGAGATACTTTAGTCGATAATGTCTTGAGGATATTTTTTATATGGAAGTGGAATGTTACCTGTCCGCTGGGAAGGTTTCGGATGGGCTGGTTTGAGCCATGGCATATGCCTTCTTTCCATTTGCCTCTTGAGCGCCTGGTGCAATATGAGTTTACTCTACTGCTGCAAGTGCCGGGTCGCTGAGGGTAGGGAGAGGTATGGGATTCTTTGAGAATGAATATTTGGATAGGGAATGAAATGAGTATATAAAATGCTGCTTTGACTATTTCTCGCCTTGGTTCATGACGTTCCATCCATCGTGTGGAAGATGGATATAGAGACATATCCTCATCCTTCATCACTTGTCGATTTCGCACCCTTTCCATTTGAATATGCTATGGGACATTTTAATCGGTCACCTAGACATTCGGTCGTTTCCGCTTCCTTCGAGGCCTTTCTCACGAGGCAGATACTGGCCTAGCACACTCCTTTGCCCACCAATCACCACCAGAACGTTCTTCGTAGCTCTGATAGTCGACACGCCCTCTGCACATTGCGAACCCGATCTGAAGTTAGCTTCTCATTCCCTGTTGACCTGTCCGATTGGAAAGCGCTCTTATCACCGCAAAAGAGAACAGAACCCATCAAATCACTGTGTGGAAGAGAATAGGGCGACTTTCAAGTGTGGATCTCTCCCGTCATTCGCCTATTTGGCAGATGTGCTTGATCATGTTCCAAGACAACCCATCTCTCTTGTTGATAAAAAGAAGAGAACGCGCTTACGACCTAGACTCCCTAGTCTAGGTTCGGGCTGATTATTGAAGTTCTACTTAGTAGACGGAATGATTACGACAACTTTGAGGTAGTTCATCGAAGTGCTGTCGAGTGTGTCGATAAGATACTTAGTCATGATATTAACATCCTCGCTCTCGCCCTCGCCGCCAAGTACTATGTCCTGGTGGCGTTTATATTCATTGGGTTATCATGAAGTTTTCGTGCCACACGAATGGCTGAATGGCTCGCTTAGTAGAGCTGATGCATGTCTACCCAAGACGACAACAGGCTTGAGCTTACCAGCCAATAGTTCCTGCGTATTCCTGCCACAGCCGAATCCATGGATTCGATGGACGAATACGCGCAACGTACCACACGCCACCTCCTCCTAGCGGATGTTTCCGTCTGTTTGCACAAAGGTCCACATACCGTGCTTGCATAGCTTTGGCGACTGCTATTCAGACACTCTATCTTGTATTTGACCACGAATTGTAGCATCATCCACTAAGCCATTGTTTCTTCCTGTTCTTTTTGTTCCAGTCCTGCCTGTGGCTCTAGACATACACTTTGGCAGTTTCTGATCGTCTACGTTCTTGTTGCGCGCCGTACATGTTCCCGGCATAGACGAACCTGCCCTACCCCAGCCACGATCCGTGTCTCTACGACTTGACAGGTCGCATAGCTACAAATAGTAAGTCTCCAATCATCCTCCTTGAGTGTTTGTTGGAGAAAGTGCTGGGGGATTCAGCTCGTAGAATATTTAAAATATACTGACCTCTATTAGTGACACATTCCACTACTACCGCTGGAGAAGATCAAGTATGGTCCAAAGAAGCCATATTTGCCTTGGTCACATTATTCGTCATGGTGCTACTGTCTGGTATGGGCCTAGTTTTCAGAAAACGAATGAGAACGTCAAGCCTTTGGATGCGGTTCACATGGCGGAGGATGGGCGTAGATGGTATGCGGAAAGCCAACCCTGAATTATTCTTAAAGGCTAACACTGGGTAGACGAAGAGCTCGCAACGATCCGTGGCAGATCCACATCTTCCGGCTGGGTTGGCATCGCGGAAGTTCGGCGATATCAGCAGGATACATACACATCGACCCTTCGAACGAGGCGCGGACCAAGGCTATCGCGGGTGTCGAGCCGGGTGAACGACAGACGTGGATGATGACGGAGAACATGTAGCCTGGCCAATATCAGAAGCTTAGCAGTGGCAGACTGTACGGTATATTTTCTGGGCTTGAGCTTTTCAATTCCGTCGCATTTAGTTGGGGTGCGGTGAAGCGCGGGCCAGTGATGATCGATTTTCCTTCTTTATAGACATTTCGAAACGTTAGTTGTGATGTGCGTAATTTACGAATGAATCTGTTACTATAAGTCGCACATCCTACCTTCCTGTATGTGAGACCCTCACCTTGCTGCTGTATAGCACGGGATGCCAGCGAGGCTGAAGAACTTGTTGTGCCGCTTCTCGAGCCTTATAGGCCAGCATGTTCAGTCAAGTTCCATTTTCAGCAGTGAGAGGCCATTCAGATTTGTGGTAAGGTTTGGATGAGAAATGCAGTATGCGAGCGAAGATTTGGTGGCCTGGTGCGATCGCGTTGAGGATGGACATCAGCATGCAGGTGGAGGAAGTTGGGGAGAAGGGTGGGGTCGTTTTAGCGCGCTTGGGGCCGTGCGTTCTGGCTAACCCGATGACGCAGGACAAGTCTTTGCCAACTGCATCACCTCATATCAGTAGCAGACTGAATAGGTACACTGCCGGCTGCATTAGCATCAAAAGTGAAGGCTGGTAAAAAAAAAGATTGTTGCATGGTAGATTCCCAGGAGGTAGACGTTCAAGCTTGCTAACTCCAGCTACATGCGCTCTACGACAACAAACAGCTGCACTCCAAGATCCTACTCGACAAGACCCTGCTTCGACTTCTTGGCTTTCTTACTCTTCTTCTTCTTTCCTTGAGTTGCAAGAGCTTCCAACTCTTCCAAATCGGCCACTGCTCTGTCGGGCGTAGCTTCTACTTGTGCAGCATCATCAGTCTTCATCTCTCCATCGACAGATGTTACCGACGGCTTCTCGACCTGCATCACCGAGTCCGAACGTACATGGACTGGTACTTTCGGCATAGGGACACTAGCTTCCACTGGCTCAGGCTTCCTGTTGCCCATCTGCTGGTACGTTTTTGAGGACTTGAAGTCCAGCTCGTCCGTGAAGGGCTCGAGCGTTGCTGGCTTCTCGACGGGTTGTGCTTCTTCAAGCTTCGGTGCGATTTCTTCAGTTGGCTTTGAAACGATTGCTTCGTTTGCAACTGGTGCTTCATCAACGACATCCTTTGGAGAAGACGCTGACACCGACTTCGCTGCGGTCTCTTCTACGTCTTCCTCCTTGGGTGACGCAATTGTAGGAATAGCGACTTCACCACCGGCCGGCTCATGCAGCTCCGGCACGAGCTCAGCTGTTGGAGTGGAAGCTTCTTCGTTACTGACAACTGGCGTCGCAGGCGCTCGAGCGTAGTTACTCATCACAGTCTTCCAGACGAGTTGCAGGAGCCTGCTATTACCCTCCACCGTCGTAATGAAGTCCGGCTTGCGGAACGGCTCTGGATCGTCCGCCATGGCATCGTTGAGCGACTGTTCAACATAGCCCGGATACCACAGATCATCTTCTGGTAGCAAAGGGAATGCATGGTCTCTCGCGACGGTGAGGATATCGAAAATGCTCATCTCTTCGTCGAGAGACTTCAGCTTGTTCTGCGCAAGCTCAGCAAGACCGGGTAGCTTGTAGCGAGCGGCAGCGCAGTATACACCGGCGCCGAGCTTGTAGACTTCGGGTATGACTTTGTCCGACGATGCCAGTGTATTGAGACTCTGGTATTTGCCGGTATATAAGTAGTGTACCAGAGTGTGTGCTGTGTTTAGATCCAGTTCCGGGAGAAGTACGGATTGCTTGACGAAGGCCAGTGGATAGGACTTTGCGGCAAGGACTTCGCTACGGCTCAAGACACTGTCGTGGACGAGGAAGCGGGTCGCTTCTGGCCCAACTTCCAGTGATACCATCTGCGTGGTTGCATAGGGGCTGCACGATACTATCAGCGCCATACTGAGACTCGGTGGTGATATGTAACTTACGAGACTTCTTCAGGACTGACTGCTAAGTCTCCGGTGCCATACGCGTACCCACCCAAACCGCCATTGTCATGCGACACGTCCAGGGTAGAGTTATCGCTAACAGACATATTGTGCTAACACCAAAGGACGCCTGCTTATACCCGCCAGATTTCAGACCAAGCACCTCCCTTTAACCCATCACGACAACTCCCTCCAAAATGAGGCTCAAAACACATGCGCTGTCACATATTACAAGACGCGGGGTCTATATGCACTCATGAGTTGTCAGTTCGATGGCATTCTCAGCCTTGTGGCTTCGGTGATCCCGTTGGTCAGCCTGATCGTCCTTCACTGCACCCCGCGAATGATGCGTCCAATAGACCAAGACGGATCGATGAGCTGAGCAAAACCGGTGAGATGGGGCGTAGATTTATCTGTAATTATCTTTGGGTGATGCGCTCAGACCCGATGGCTGGATGGGCGCGCTATCGCTGGTAGCCTGCGATCTAGACTGTTCGTCGGTGGCCGCGGATCTAAATGTTCCTCGTGGACCGGGAACTCGTCTGCTAACAACATCGTAATCTGAGCGGGGGACTATGCGGGTGTCGAGATAGAGGACACAACTGAGGACGAAAGGTGGAGGTGGAGGTCTGATTATCCTTCCTGAAAGATCGACTCATTGGAAGGAACAAAATGTCGACCCTTGCGAGGTTGTAGTCAGCCGCCACATCTCACCTTCACTACGTGTGAAACGCGGGGAAAAAAAGAAGATGTCCTGGCGAGGACTAAGAAGGATATTGAGGTACGGAAGGCATAACTATGAACGATAATCGAGATCTAGACATCGCATGTCGCGTTCTATATGTGATTGACGAAACGGAGGGTGAATTGAGTCCGCGGATAGGAATGAGTCAACACCTCTAATTGCAGCGGCCGAGCGTGGATGTTCGAAGGTTTTGTGTTCTACGGGAGACAATTGCCGTCGTACATGATGCAATCGCAGTCCGCGGACGGACCCTGAGGACGCACAGTAGGAACGCACGGCGTGCCACTTTGCCTAGGCTGGCTTAGCGCGACTGTGCCTCAGCCTCCGCCCACAAGTGCACCAACCGCTACCGTACTTAGTTAAGTACGGCTGAACATCATTTGCAATGCCAACCTCAGCTTCCTCAAACTCAGCCGCGTCTGGCATTGATCCACAGAATCAAGCTGCAATGTCGGAAATATACACAGTTCAAACCACGAACTCGACGTCATCAAGTCACACAAATACGCTGGGTCTCTCATCAAGTTTTACTTTCTGGATACTCAGCATCGTCAGTGCCTACTGGCTTCTCGTTCGCACTCTCCGGTATAGGCGTCGTGATGGCCTCACTCACCGCTTGAATGTAAAAGCAATACTATCAACACTTCCACTTCCGCAAGGCTGACAGACAACCCAGTACCCCGACCGTTCTTCATGGAGTCGTATGACTGTTAAAGATGCGCATTCAGTACATGTTTCTCTTACAGAACTCGAATTCCCGATCGTGTTCCACACATCCACATTCTTCGCCCTCTTCAAAACCTATGGCATCCCCAGTATCTCGAAGCTGCTTGTCGCAACAGGACAACTGTCCTGCCCGGACACAGCATCAAAACGAGCTGCTGATACCGCTACTATCATGACCGAGGCTATCATCAACAAACCTGATTCCGAACGCGCCATCTGTGGCATAGCGCGTATGAACTACCTTCATAGTCGGTATATCAAAGCCGGGAAGATATCGAACGACGATATGTTGTATACGCTCAGTCTCTTCGTTCTTGAACCTATCAGGTGGACTGCCAGGTACGAGTGGCGAACTGTAACGGACTTCGAGAGATGCGCTATGGGTGTTTACTGGAAGGATATGGGCGAGGCGATGAAGATATCATACGACACCCTACCTTCAGCGAGTCACGGATGGCGTGACGGATTCCATTGGCTTGAAGAGGTAGAAGCGTGGAGTCTGGCATATGAGGCTCAAAATATGGTGCCTGCTGATACGAACGCAACACTTGGTCGTGGTACTTTCGATGTCGCCTTGTTCAACGTGCCTTCCGCTCTCAAGCCTTTCAGCTTTACGGTGGCGCATATGTTACTCGAGCCGCGCTTGCGGAAAGCGATGAAGTGAGTGAAAGCCGAAATCATTACTTGATTAACCCACGATACTGACCATCTCCAAGCATACCGCAACCCCCTGCCGTCTACTACCAATTTCTAGAAACATTGGTCGAGATTCGCAAGTTCTTGCTCCGAAACTTCTTCCTCCCGCGTCCGTACTTCCTACGCCCGGATTGGTTCACAGAAATCGACGAGCGCACTGGCCGCGCCCATGCTGGTCAATACATTGACAGGCCGTGGTACATCAAGCCGTCGTTCATGAAGAGGTGGGGTCCAAACGCTTTGCTACTGCGACTTGTTGGGGGTGTCGTCCCAGGCGACAAACGATATCATCCAGGAGGATATCGAATCCATGAGCTTGGTCCTTCAGAGCTTGTGGGGAAGGGCGAAGCTGAGATGCGGACTACGCGGAACGAGTTGAGAGCGAAAAGGGTGGGGTGTGTCTTCTCTCGCTAATGGACCATATCTACGAGAGACATGAATGTATCATGGGATGGATGGAGGAGGTAAAGGCGGGAGATTTTAGAAAACAAAGAGAGGTGGAGGGGACCACATCGGAATGGTTCCGCACCCGCATCCAATGGCGGAACCCCGCGTCCACCCCGCGGTGATACATATGGAGCAGTTGCTCTCCGCTACGTATAGCATCATCTCACTTTACTATCGTCTTCTCATACTCTCAAGAACTCACAATGGCGACCACGAAAGTCGCACTCATCACTGCCAGCTCAGCAGGTCTGGGCGCGCAGATAGCACGCGTATTCGCACCAGACTTCCGTGTAGTATGTATACAAACCTACCTACCGTCACATGTCCAGCATGTACAGCAACCAAGAACGGCAACTAACATACCCAGGTAATAAACTACTCCTCAAACTCCGACCGAGCCAACACCCTCATGAAAGAGCTCGCCTCCATACCAGGCCCATCTTCTGATTCCAACCCACGCTTCCACCTCATCCAAGCCGACATGTCCTCCAAGCCCTCCGTCCAAAACCTCGTCCAAGAAACCATCTCAACAATGGGCCGCCTCGACGTCGTCGTCTCAAACGCCGGCTGGACGCGCATGACGACCTTCACGGACATCGAACAGCAGATAAACGACGAAGACTGGGACAAGTGCTTCACCATGAACGTAAAAACACACATGTGGCTCGCCTACGCCGCGAAAGACGCCTTAGCCTCCACCGAAGGCACTTTCATCTCCACAGCGAGCGTAGCGGGAGTCAAGCCCAGTGGGAGCAGCGTGCCGTATGCTGTTACGAAAGCGGCGCAGATACATCTTGCGAAGAGCTTGGCTGTTATTCTTGCGCCCAGGATTAGGGTCAATAGTATTAGTCCTGGTATGTTGCTTACGGAGTGGGGACTCAAGTTTCCGGAGAAGAAGAGGGAGGCGGCGATACAGAATACCAAGTTGAAGAGGTTGGCGACGGTGGAGGATTGTGCGGAGCAGGTTAGGGTGTTGGCGCTTAGTAGGAGTATTACGGGGCAGAATATTTCGATTGATGGGGGGTCTTCTGTGTAGGGGAGGGTGTGTTTAGTTGGGCAGGGTTGGACTGGGCATGTTAAAGTGCAGAAAGTACTTTGTGCTGAGAAGTACCGAAGAGTCTATTGTGACTGAGGGGAATGTCTTGTTCGTAGAGGAACATGCGTTCTCGGGGTTATAGACGCTTACAGTTTCAGGCTTGGGATTGTCAATTCCGGCGGTATTGTAAGCTGACCGCATAGAGCTTCACTAGGAAAACTATATGCATGGCCGGTTGGAACAACGACTTTCTATTCTTGACGTTTCTCATCTCTGCAATGTTCCACGGAAACGGCGTCGCACAGAGCGGTGGAATAATCGTGAGCCTCGCATGTAGCATGTGTTACGTCGACACTCATTCGACTTGTGTGCGACGTATACGTTGTGCACTGTGTATATCTTCGGCGTGTTTGCTGTCGCTAGTCTGACGGATGAGGGTTGAGCGACCGCAAGCTTACTTCCGTTGCACAAGTTCATGAAGGACGCTGAACAGGGCGTGAGGTGTGCTCTGAAGCCAGTTTTGAACGATGTAAGATTTGCGACTGTTCCCAGCCACGCTCAGGTACCGAGCAAATCGACCGATCCGTGTATCTCGAATGAACTAATTGTGACAGCATCGGTGGCGCACTCGCAGCGCCGTCTGCCACAGGTCGCCGTCTCTAGTCGAACTCCCGTCCCGCCAACAGTATTGCCCAGCATGGTAGTGAAGAGGCACACGTCAATGAAGGAACAGAAAGAGTAGCCAAGCTGACTCGCTCTTACACCAAGCAGGACATCCACTATAGAGTCAGCAAGACAAGCCCGTCGGAGAATTGATAGGGCGCGATGCACCAATGATCCGCTCCCAGGTTACTCCAAACGCGTAGTCAGGGCTCCGGCTTCGGAGCGCAGCCATTGGGCCGGCGGATTTTCGCATCCTACGAAACGTGCTTGAATTGCACAACATGCGATACGTCGAGATAAACAAGTACAATCCCACCCGTCAATAAAGATGGCGCGGAATGCCAATCAAGGATGCGAAATATGTGGAAAGTGGCTGGTCGCGTGCGAGCCAACGATGCTGCTGTGTCCAATTCCAGTTTCCCCACGCCAGACGTGTGCCACAGTATCGACCTCTCCACGAGCCCACCACGGCGGCCTTGAGACCCACCGCCTCGCTTCTGGGGACACTCACATGCTTTCGCGACAGTTTGCCGCCAAGGGTTGCCGGACGGGTACGGGAGGCTGACATGCAGCTGAGCCCTACTGCATGCCACGCCGCACGGGTCGTGGTGCAAAAGAACACAACGGCTTCAGCTGGTCATGCCTTTGATGTTGTTTCGTGTCAGCGCGTAGATACAAAGAAAGACGAAGGTTTGATTGCTTCTGAGATGCCTCCCACCCTCAAAGTAAGCTGCTGGCAGGCGTATCCAGGTCGAGCTCGCCTCAGAGTATGCGGACACGGGCATCGGGAACCAGGGTCTCACAATCTTCGCGCTCCGGCATGTTGCCTGGCTCGTTGGAAATAACTCTGAGCTGGTTCGAAAATAGTCCCAGTTTGGGCGTTTGACGAGGTTAGCTGCTGCCCTTGTGGAGACTCGTTACTGGATGCGGTAAGATACGGTACGACAGTGGCCGCGGTCAGTTGAAGAACCACAGACGATGGCCGGTCGGACGGGTGTCTCGATCTGCTCAACCACAGCCAGATTTTGCACGCCGCGGGCCTTCTGCAGGGCGTGCGCTCAGTAGCGCCGTGTCCCAACGGCAAGACCTCAAAACCCAAAAGATTGGGTGTCGAATCGTCGTTGGGCGCCCGATGTTCGCCCGACTGCGGTGCCTCGATGTCGCGAGACCTGGGGTGAGATGCACTAGACACGAGGAGGATGGCAGCAAACCGCCGTGGTCGTCTTATCGCACACAACGTACGTGAATCGCATAAACACATCGCCAGGGACGGGGTGGCGTTGGAGAGAACGCGTCGCGACGGCCGGCGAAGATGCGGCACCCAAAGCAGCTAGCGCGCTCGATCTCCGAGGCGGCAGCTGATTGGGCGACGCGATTCTCTTATCTCTGGCCAGAAATGCAATTGACACACGCAACCTGGACCACCCACTCGCCAAGCCTTCCGCCCCGGATGAAACTGGCGTTGCCTGCAATCGTTATGCGAATTCGTGTTGAGCCCGTGGTGAGAGGCGCCGCGCGAGGCCTGTCCCTACAAGCTGACGCGACGTGGCCGCCGGTGTGGGTGGGCGTTGCGCCTTATCACGTCTGCTTCGTCGTCACATGTTTGCAGAGCAGCGAGCCGGCGAGATAAGGCGTTAGATCGTTAGAGACAGCAATGACGCAGCTCCGATCAATCGCGGCAGAAAAAGAACAAAGCTCCATGGCTGGATCTAACGCGAACCCCACGACGGTCGCGGCTGTGGGTGATGTACCCTCGTCTATTTTGCCTCGAGTGATGGCCCGTGGACCAGGATAGATAAGAGTAGTACAGCAAGTTCCACCCATAAAGGTCCCGGCGCATCTACCGTAATCTACAGTAGGGCTTCCGGAATCTCCCTGTAGCAGCTTATATTACTGGCACCGATCCAGCTTTTGATCCCTTCTCTTTTCTTCCACAGGCCCTACCGTGGAACCGTCCTCCCTTTCCCCATAGTACTTAAGGACCCCAGATCTCCTTAGTACCCCGACAATCCCCTAGGACTTCCCTCACCATGTCGTACTCGTGGGTCGGCCCTCCGGCGCAGTTCAATGGCACCGATGATATCACTGGTGGTGACTCTGGTGAGTACAAGTCCCCATGTACCATTGCGCACGTGCCGAGCGCAACATCCGCATCGTGTGCGACAGAAGGCTAACATGAACATCAGTCACCGAGAACTTGAACCAATGGTTCTCTGCGGGTGACCAGGCCTACATCCTCGTGGCCTCGGCCATGGTGATGATCATGGTTCCCGGTCTCGCGTTCCTCTACTCCGGTCTTGCTCGCAGAAAGTCCGCCCTCTCCCTCATCTGGGCCTGCATGTTCTCCGCCTCCGTCATCACCTTCCAATGGTACTTCTGGGGATACTCGCTCGCTTTCGGACCCTCGACGAACGGCTTCATCGGAAACCTCGACAAGTTCGGTCTCAAGGGCGTTCTGGCTCATCCCAGCCCCGGTAGTCCTTTGATCCCAGAGTTGCTGTACTCCTTCTACCAGGTACGAAAACCATTACCATGAATCGGTTTCGACGAACTAACACACTCCAGATGCAATTCTGCGCTGTCACTGCTGCCATTGTCGTCGGTTGCGTTGCTGAGCGCGGTCGCTTAATCCCCATGATGGTCTTCATCTGGCTCTGGGCCACGATCGTATACTGCCCCGTCGCATACTGGGCCTGGAACGCAAACGGCTGGTTCTTCGCATGGGGTGGACTTGACTACGCTGGTGGTGGTCCCGTCGAGATTGTCTCCGGTTGCACAGCTCTCGCCTACTCCATGATCCTCGGACGTCGCCAGGAGAAGATGATGCTCAACTTCCGCCCTCACAACGTCTCCTTGATCACCCTCGGAACCGTCTTCCTGTGGTTCGGCTGGTTGGGCTTCAACGGTGGTTCCGCTTTCGGCGCCAATCTCCGTGCTGTCATGGCATGCTGGAACAGCAACCTTACCGCCATGTTCGCCGCCATGACTTGGGTTCTCCTCGATTGGCGCCTTGCTCGCAAGTGGTCCATGGTCGGATGGTGCTCAGGTGTCATCTCCGGACTTGTCGCTGCTACTCCCGCTTCTGGTTTCTTGCCTCCATGGGCCAGCGTCATCCTCGGTATTACCACCGGTATCGTTGCCAACTTTGCCACCAAGAGTATGTACCTTGTCAAAACCTTTCCGCGAACAGCTCGCTAACATGTCTCTAGTCAAGTTCTGGATCAAGATCGACGATTCTCTCGATGTCTTCGCTGAGCACGGCGTCGCTGGAATGTGGGGTCTTTTCTTCAACGGAATCTTCGGTGCCGACTACATCATCGGACTCGACGGTGTCAACAACGGTCTTACCGCTGGTGCCATCACCGGCGAGCCCGCCGCGATCTACAAGCAAATCGCCTACATCGTCGCCGTAACCGCGTACTCCTTCGTCGTCAGCGCCATCCTCGCCTTCGTCATCGACAAGATCCCCGGCCTCAAGCTGCGCGCATCTGAAGAGGCCGAGCTCCTCGGTATGGACGACGACCAGCTCGGCGAGTTCGCCTACGACTACGTCGAGGTCCGCCGTGACTACCTCGCATGGACTCCTGCTAAGGGCGAGCCCATCGACGGCGAGCACTCGGTACCCCAAGGCGAGCGCCACGGCATCCCCCAGCACAGCCAGATGCTCGAGGGCAAGGCACCATCGGAACACAGCTCAGGCCACGAGCACACGGGCATTGCGGGCGACAGGCACGCGATGGCCATGGGTTCCGAGCACGAGAAGCAGGTTCAAACTTAGGCTTTTCCTTGCTGCTGCGCATTGCTGATTTGGATTTGTTGCTTGCGACTTTTTTGAGTCAATTACCCGTTTCGAGATACCACCTTGCGCTCCTGCTCTCCGTCTTTGAGCTGTGCTTTTTGACATATACATTTAGATGATTGTATTACAGTTTTTTCTTTTCCCTCATGTATTGTACATAATTCGAGAATGGATACATCAAACATCATTATCACTCATCCTACAAACTCCAATGTGCATTCCAAATCATCCACACTCACCTAACCCTATATCAACACATTCCACATCACCGACACGCGCCCAGCCTTTCTTATCATGCTAAGCACGATCGACTCCCCCCATTCGACGAATAGAATTGACTACACAACAACGCCAAGCCTACTCTCCTCACTTCCTTATCTTTTCCCGCTCCTCCAGACTGTGAACCCCAGATTTACGCAGGCAAGATGATGTCAGTCCACCGACGCTACCACTGAAGTGGGCTTGACATCTGCACGATGCAAGAACGACGCAGCCTTTTACCGTAGATGTCGAAGATGTGTATCTATACTGCGCATTG